CATAAGGAGCTCTGGTGGTGCAGTGCCTAAGGCATTTGACTGCTAATCAGAGGTTGGCGCTTCAAACCCACCAGCCACTCCGTGGAAGGAAGACTGGGCAATCTATTTCCGTAAGGATTTGCCGCCTGAGAAATCCAAAGTGGGTCTCTATGAGTCAGAATCAGATCCATGGCAGTGAATTTTGTTTTCTTTTTGTGTGTGTGTGTGTGAAACTCTACATATTTAAGATCTCTATTCCCCTCACTCTGGCGGTTCAAACCCACCAGCCACTCCTCAGAAGGAAGGTTGGGCAATCCTACTTCCGTAGTGATACTGCCTCGGAAAGCCAAGGAGGGGTCGCTATGAGTCGGGTTTGACTCGACGGCACATAACAACAACAACAACAACAACAACAACATTCCCCTCACTCCCTTAAGTAACTTCTTTCAGAAGGAGAAGGTAGGAGAGGAAAGTAAGTGTTTTAATTTTTGTGTTTCTCCAAACCCATCAATTAATTAAAAACAAAAAAGCAAAATGGATCTAACCTGATGGAATATTTATAAAAATGGGAAACTCATTGTCGACTAAATCACATTTATTTAATCGAGTATTAGACTGCCTTTTTTTAACCAGATGGAAAACATTAGCAGTAATAGTGAGCAAACATATCCAGGCTCCCAGAGGTCATTTTTAACCACCATTAACAATCTGGTTTCCACGGATTAGTAATATACAAAAGGCAACGGTCCAGTAAAATATCCACAAAAGGCAGCTGAAGACTCCATGCTCTTTATTTACCTAACGTTTTAACCATTTTTAAAATCCCTTGTAAATGAGGCATTGGAATCTTCTAAGCTCCAAATTAACATATTGTACCCAGAAGTTACTGTAAAATTGTTGTTGTTGTTGTTGTCGAGTCAAACCCGACTCATAGCGACCCCTCCTTGGGTTTCCGAGGCAGTGTCACTACGGAAGTAGGAGTGCCCAACCTTCCTTCCGAGGAGTGGCTGGTGGGTTTGAACCGCCAGCCATCTGGTTAGCAGGCAAGTGTCTTAGCCATTATGCTACCAGAGCTCCCTACTGTAAATTACCAGTCTAAAATAGACACCAATGCAAAAGATCGATGCAACCGCCACAAAGCTGATGAAAAGAAAGACTTGTTCTTAATATTATTGATGGACTTGCTTCTTAATATTATTGATGGTTGACATGCTTTCCACTTACTAGCTATTTGCTTAGTGGTTTCTATACCCATGTCAAGCTACTAATTGTGAAGTGGAAAAGACATGGATCTTTACATATCATACTTTAATTTTGAAATTGAATTCTATAATTGAAATGTAATATAAGGTTAAACAGTCCACAAAATACACTAATGAATCCAAAAGCATGTAGCTTATAATGTGGTAAAAACATGGCTTCTAGAGTTGCCTATTCAGGAGTAAATTATCTCATTGAAATCACTGAGTGAGTGAGGAAGCTGTAGAACGAGGCAATCTCATGGTGCTTCATAAATGGATGCAGAGATCAGTGCAGGCTTGTTTCTTCTTCGATTCAATATTGTACATGCACGTGGAACTGTTATGCACTTATCTAGTCAATTGAGACCAGAGTAAGTATAGGCAAAACCACATTTATCTTCATTTCAAAGCACCATTATTTTTATAGTTTACTTAGTTATAATTTGTTATCAACCTTTATGTTACTCTTCCTTTAGATAATGATTTTTAGGAATTATATCATGATCTATACTTAAAAGCTCTGGTAGCATAGTGGCTAAGACACTTGCCTGCTAACCAGACGGCTGGCGGTTCAAACCCACCAGCCACTCCTTGGAAGGAAGGTTGGGCACTCCTACTTCCATAGTGACACTGCCTCGGAAACCCAAGGAGGGGTCGCTATGAGTCGGGTTTGACTCGACGGCACATAACAACAACAACATACTTAAAATGCTTCACAGATATTTCATTATTTTCTTATTACATGGAGAAGAACACCAATGTGTTAAGGTTCAAGAGCACACCTGGGCCTATAGAGTGAGGTCATTAGGCTACAAATGGGAATGAGGTTGTGTAAATATGATCTAGATATTAGAGAAAATGCTTGTCATTAAGGAACTTAGGGATGCTAGAGATATTATTGTCCTGATGATGGGCAGCCAGGGTTAGACTCCCTCTCCCAACTCTGTGTGTGTTCTAGGGAGGGATATATATATATATGCCTCTCCCCCTCAATGGTACAGACATGCTCAGCTACTAACTGAGACTGGAGAGTATAGTCCATCCAGACACATCTCAAAAGAAAAACCTGATGATCTATTTCCAAAACAGCAGCCATTGAAAACCTTACTCTAACACATGTTTCTGCATAAGTCAGAGTGAACTCAATGGCAACTGGCTTTGTACACACTCATATGCACACACACAGACACATACACATGTCATCAGGTGGAATGCAGAATAGCCATTTTTAATAATATCATATTGAAGATTTTCCTGTCTGTCCATGATTCTGTAGGTCAATCCTTTGGGGAGAAGTTCTGTTTCTCTCTTTGCAGAAATTTTTACGTTTGACAGTAAAATCTTCCAGTATTCCTACAAGTGCCAGGGGCCATTACATTCCTTTTCTTATCAAGGGAAATGAACAAATAGGAAGGAGATAATTGCAATGATGCATTCTAGCCATTTTGAATTTACAACTTCTTTGGTCCATTTCAGTGACAACTCAAGACATTTTTATTGAGTTCCTATTATATGTCCCACACTGTGCTAGGCACTGGCCACACAGGAAAGACAGAGATGCTGCCTTCAAATAGTACTGGGCACAGCCCATCAGGGGAGGAAGATGAGAAAGTAAAAACACCACGACCAAGGAGAGTACAGGTGCCACCATGACTGAGGCAAATGTGTGTGTCCTGGGACACGAGAGAGGTAACCTGGGGTGTAAGGGACAGAAGGGAGGAATCCATGAGACCTCCTGACTGCACTTTAACTGGACTCCAGTTGTATAGATAAAAATGTAAACCTTAATCAAATTAAGTGGGTAGTTGTGGATAGGGATGGATTACCCAAGAAGCCAGATAAGCATGTGCTTAGGGCATCAACAAAGCAGATGCACCATTTGTCCAAAGCAAAGACCCATAGATGCCAAGCAGACAAGACACAAGGAAAAGTGAGCACCACAGTGAAAGTGATCTGTCAGGGCACTAAAAGAAATTGATACCAGCTCCAGTGCGTGACAATGTGCTGGCTGGAAACAAAGTTCATGGAAGGACATGAAGGTGCCCACGTGCAAGGTTGTTTAAGATATAGGGCCCCTCCCACTTCAGCACCTTCGTTGACTTCTGTCTTCTACTGTCCCCTCCCATATAATTGAAGCTCCTCATCTCAATGGGTGTCTTGGAAGTATACTATTATTTTCTAATAAACAAGAAGTGATGGTGGGCAAGAGCCTAACTCTTGCTACGTACACGCAACTGGATCCAACATGAGCAGTTACTGGGCAAGGTTGGATTACATAAATTGATAACAACTAAGTTCACTGATTCATTTTCTTTATTGTAGAATATATGGAATATTCTTCATGTAGAAAATGTGGTATGTGGTAAAAAGCTTAGTACCTTCCCAATCCATTAAACATTTTATAATCCAGTTCATCTCATTCCACTAACATACTATACATCACTTTTGCATTCAATTGCTGATATTATAGTTGAATTTGAAAAGAAGTTAGATCATGGGTAGCTAAGATACACACACACACACACACACACACACAACTCACATAGCCCATATGAATGTGTGAGTAAGCAGGGGTGGGGGGCACCACAGATTATCAGTGTTTATGGCTCCTCACATGCCTTAACCTGGCCCCGCTTGCAGATTACCAGGTTGAAATTTAGGGGAAAAGTTATGATTAGCTCAATAATTAGATTTCTTTGGTTTATTTTGTTTTTCTGAATTATGTAGACTAAACTTACAACTGTAGATAAGTGCATTTTCTAAGCTTGCCATCATTCTAGTTAGCACATAATCAAACTAAGAACAACAGTCTAACTAACCTTTATCCACAATAGTTTTTATTTGTCAAAGACAAGTTGTTGGGCTGACACAAGACCAGGGAGTGTTTTGTTCTGTTGTACGTAGGGTCGGCATGTATTGGAGCCGACTCAACGACACTTAACAATAACAACAACTTGTTAAGAAACTATCAGCAAGCAAGTGAATATTCGAAAGTAACATAAAATAACTTACTTCACATCTCTGTTTTAGATTTCTTTTTTTTCTTTTAATACGCTCATCAATTATTGGAGTCCCTGGGTGGTACAAATGGTGTGTATACATTCCTGCTACTAAAAAGTTTCAGGTTTGAGTCTACCCATAGGCGGTCAACTTCTGAAAACTCAGCCATGGAACACCCTGTAGCACACAATCCCACTCTGACACACATAGGGTCATCGTGAGTCACAATCAATGTGATGGCAATTGGTATCAGTTATTAGGAAACCCTTCCAGGCTTATAAATCCTCTCCCATGGACAACTATAGCTTCCTCCCACTTCTTTTTCATTGCCCCAATTTTAGGGCAGGGAGGCCTCGGCTTCCAGAGTCTTAAGGACCTTCCAGGTGAAAACAGGCTTCCTCACTTCACGAAGGAGGTGGGCTCTGATTGGATTCTCTAGAAATCTTGATTGTTCAGTCTCCTCTTTTGCCCATTCTAGCAGTTACCTTAGTTGTAAAGAATGGAGGAGGGGGGTGAGGAGAAGGGCTAACTTTGGGAATCTTCTTTCACTGAGTACCATCCCCACGCGCCACCCATTGGCTCCATCTGTAAGCTGGGCTCTGACCTCATTTTCTGTAACTCTCCTCCAGGGTTTCAGGGGAATCGTACACAGGTAAATGAGGACATTTGGTCCTGAGGACTTCTACTTCCAAGTTATATCTAATAAGTGCTTTTGTAGATATTAAAAGAAAGAAAACAGCTTACATAAAACTAATGGTATTTTTTCTCCCTTTTTTCAAGGTGAACACACACAAGAAACCAATTCACCTCATTCACTCAAAAAGGATGTAGAAAATATGGGAAAAGGTAAAGAAAAGTTTTAATTCTGTCAAACTCCTCTTCGTTTTAAAAGACTATGGAGATAATAAGAGGATATTTTTGTTCTGCACCATATTTTAAGCTTGACAAGCAACATATGAATAATATATGGACCATTGGGTGGATATAATTGAGATTAATGCATACATATCAATCAATACATGACACTGTAATATAATACTTTAAAATAATATATTACATTGATTTATATTCATGGATTTCTGTACAAAATCTATCCTATGTCTATGCAAGACTTTTTAAACTGGTAAAATATTTTGTCTTATAATAATAAATTGCCATATATAACAGTTCTCTGGAGAGTTATTTGTAAAGATTAGTAAAACGGCTCTTCTATTTTTTCTTTATTAGAGGAACTTCAGAAGGTTTTATTTGAACAAATAGATTTACGGAGACGACTAGAACAAGAATTCCAGGTGTTAAAAGGAAACACATCTTTCCCAGTATTCAGTAAGAAATCACTTTTATTTCATTACGCTTGTGATTATTTGATGATATTTCTATTACGAAGCTTACGCTGACGATTCTAACTATTCAGTGGTTGTGCCAAGCTCCACACGGTCTTCCACTCATCTCTGTCTAGCTCTTTGAAAGTTTTAGTCTCTCTTATTTCTACTTTGAATAGGCTTATAGACAAAATTTCTTAAAAGAGCCTTTTGGTATTGATTTTCCCTCCAGTATATGTGTGTTTGTATGTATTTTAAAATATTTATGTAAATATACAGTTAAATATACAAATATATTAGATATATTTTGGTTATATATAAGGACTCTGGTGGCGCAGTGGTTAAAGCATTTGGCTACTAACCAAAAGTCGGTGGTTCAAACATATGATCAGCTCCATGGGAGAAAGATAAGGCAGTCTGCTTCTGTGAAGAGTTATAGCCTCAGAAATCCTTATGGGGCAGTTCTACTCTGTTCTATAGGGTCGCTATGAGTCAGAATCAATTAGGTGGGAGTGGGTAGGTCGGTAAGTTATATGGATTCAAAACAAAGGAATTGCTCATGTTATTTTATTCTCTAAGGTAGAAAAACAAAAAAACAGTTAACTGTTATTCTTAGCACTAATAACTGCCTGGTGCTTGAGATTTGTATTAATGAGAAGTTTAAAATTAAAAAAAATTAATTGTGTGAATTTTAATAATTCAATGTACACAGATCTGCTTACTTAATTGAAATTGGTACAATTTTGGTAGTTTTTGGTTCTCCATCCATATTTAATGTTAAAATTTCATTTCACATTTTGGGCAGGAGATTTTGTAGCTTAAAAACTATTGGTTCTACTCCCAGAGTTGAGGAATTACAGAAGGATTTTGTGGTAGGTATCCAGATTTCTGGAGCCCTGGTGTCTCAGTGGTTAAGTGCTTGGCTGCTAACCAGAAAGTCAGCAGCTCACAACCACCAGCTGCTTTGAGGAAGGAAGATGTGGCAATCAGTTTCCATAGACAGCCTTGGAAACCCTGTGGGCAGTTCTACTGTATCCTATAGGGTCACTATGAGTCAGAATCTACTTGACAGCAATTTGTTTAGGAGCCTTGGAGGTGCAATAGTTAAAGTGCTTGGCTGCTAACCAAAAGGTCAGTGGTTCAAATCTACCAGCTTCTCCGTGGGAAGGAGATGTGCCAGTCTGCCGCTGTAAAGATTTCTAGCCTTGGAAATCTTACACGGCAGTTCTACTCTGTCCTATAAGGTTGCTATGAGTAAAGTTGACTCAATGGCAGTGGTTTGGTTGCTTTGGACCAGATTTCTAAAAATGTAGTGCTCCGGTCTGGGTCACATTTAGATAAATACATCACAGTGTAAGTGATTTTCCAGGTTTTTGGAGTTTCATTTAGTTATATTCCTCTTTCTACAGAAAGGAAAGTAAGAGAGAAAATAGTATTTACACTTATATTTTAAGTCATATAAATTTAAAATTATTTTTTCTGGGTTACTCTCTTAGAATGTCAGTATGCCCCTTGTTATTAATCAGGAGCACCACAAAACTCAAGTTGGCAATTCCTATACTAGAGTCACAGACTGGCCACCTGGAAGAAGATTTTGCAGTAATTATAACAATTTTAATGATATGGACAGAGCTCAAATGTCGTTTTCAGCACAAATGAATGGTGTGCCCCTCTGTGATAGCATTTTTGAATAGTTTGAGATTCCTGGTAACATGTCCAATGGAATTTCTACCAGAACAGTTAGCCAGAGTGAAACAAAGAGATAACCGCATTATGGCAGAGATTTCTGACCACAAGGAACAGCAGGGTCTGCCAAGTTCATGATCTCTCACTACCAACAAGGGAGGTTTGGAACTCACAGTGTTTCCGTATTTTGAATTGAGAAAAGGCCTGCTGAAACTCAGAACGAGCTTGAAGGGCAGAGAATGGATGGGAGGTGCATCAGGAGCATCAGCACATCTGTAGCTTTGAGAAGAGATGAAACATTAAAAATAAAATGGGTGTTTCCAAAAGAGCCAGGGCTTTTAAATTTCTAAAGTTGCCTCTTAAGAAAGACTGTACAATTGCTAGCAGCTACAAGCAGAAAACATTTAATGAATGTGTTTCCCCATAACCTAATGTTTGTCTAATTGTAGCGTTTGTGAATCCCAGCTTTTAGAATCAGCAGGGTATCCCCAAATCACTTTGCACTGTAAAGTACTCACCTAACTCCCCATGAAACCAATGTGGCCAAAATTTGTTGTTGTTGTTGTTGCTGATTCCCCTGGAGTCAGTTCTGGCCCATGGGGACTGTATGTGTAACAGAATGAGATGTTGCCAGGTCTTGTGCCGTAGTCACAGTCATTGGTGTGTTTGAGTTCAGTGTTGTGGCTGTGGTGCCCATCCATCTCATTGAGGGCTTCCCTTGTTTGCACTGACTCCCTGCTTTCCCAAATGTGATGCCCTTTTCCAGCACCTGGTCGCTCCCGATGAGTCCTAAGTAAGCAAGCCAAAGCCTCCCCATCCTCACTTCTAAGGAGCACTCTGGTTGTGTATTTCTTCCAAGGCTGAGTTCTTTGTCCTTCTGGCAGTCCACGGTCTATCAGTATTTTTTGCCAATACCACAATTTGAATGCATCAGTGTTTCTTCTGTTTTGCTTCTTCATTGTCTAGTTTTTGCATGAATATGAGGCTATTGAAAAGACTGTAATTTATCCCATTTGTTGTTGTTATGTGCCGTTGAGTCAGACTCAACTCATAGCGACCCCTCCTTGGGTTTCCGAGGCAGTGTCACTACGGAAGTAGATTGCCCAACCTTCCTTCCGAGGAGTGGCTGGTGGGTTTGAACCGCCAGCCTTCTGGTTAGCAGTCAAGTAAGTGCCTTAGGCACTATGCTACTAGAGCTCCTAATTTATCCCATTACTAAAAGCTAATTAATAATCATTATTGAGGAAGTAATAATTTATATTCATTTACACATTTTCTTTATTAACTGTTTCATCATACAATGTGGTGTATGCTTCTGTTGAAAACAAAACAGAGTGTTAGAATGTTTTGGACAACGGGGCAGTTGCAGCTTATTCATCCTCTTGATATGAATCGTCTGTTGTTGCCACATACATGAAACACTTCAGTTAAACAACACAGATTTCCTCTTTTTTTCATCTGCACTATCCTCCACTGACCAAGGAAGTGGCGGGTGTGTACCCAAGTTTGAATAATGCGTGGTCTAGGCACACCACAAAGAGGTAGTCAATTTCACACCGATGAAAATAGCAAATGTACATTATGTGCTTGTTAACTAAATGTGAGAGGCCAGGAGGCTTGTAGACAGATTTAGATTCACTCAGATGAAAAGGGGGAAACCGAACTTCGTGAAGCCACATCGGAAGGAAGTGTAGAAGAATCCCCCTGAGAGTTTTGAAAAGCTTTTACTAGAGGGTGGACAGAGACAGTGTCAACACTTAAAACCCAGCTTACCTACAGCACCAGTGCCCTAGCCTAGAAGCTGTAGTGTGTGACAGGTGGAGGAACCCAGGCTCAGAAGTTGACAGGCCTGAGTTCACTTTGGGGCTCTGCTTCTTAATGGGTGTACAACCTTGGAACCCGTACAATGGGGCAGATAGTTCCTGTCTCATGGGAGGATGTGAAGATTGAACAGGGTGATCAGGTAGCATGCTCACACATACCTGGCACAGGGTAAGTGCTCCGTAAGCGTCAGCTGCAATGATGATGGTGATGCGAAGCAGGAGGGGAGGAAAATATTAGTGACGAGCTCTAGAAGAGCATTTCTAAAATTGGGTCCACATTTCTGTGTTTATCTTGGACTTCTTGTTGTGCTTCTGAGGGTAGATGAGGACCACAGGAATGAACCCTGGCCATGGAAGGAAAGAACAGATGTTACCCAGTTGATTCCAACTCCTGGTGACTCCGTGTGTTTCAGGGTAGAACTGACCTCCAGAGTGATTTCAAGGCTGTGACTGTTCAGAAGCAGATTACCAGGCCTTTCTTGGGAGGCACCTCTCCCAACCCTTTGGTTAGTGGCACAGTGCTCAGCCATTTGCACCAGCCAGGGACTCCACGGAAAGGGCTGCTGTTGTTAGTTGCCTTTGAGTCAGTTCCCAACTCATGGTGACCTGTGTGTTGCAGGATAGAAGTGCACTCCCCAGGTTTTTCAGGGGCAGGTCACCAGGCCTTACTTCCAAGCCATCTCTGGGTGGGTTTGAACCCCCCCAGTCTTTGGGTTAGCAGTCTAGTGCTTAGCTGTTTCACCATGCAGGTATTCCATGGACAGGATCAGAAAAAAGATTAGAGAAGAAAAGAGGAGGAGGAGGAAGAGGAAGCAGGTCTCTACACTTGCTGACACAGAGGCTTCTGGAGCTACTCACAATAAATACTTCTTGGCTGCATCCTGGAGTGGGTACCTTGATAGGGAAATACAGGGAGCAAAACAGGTGCTAAAACAGCAGCAGCCACATGGGCAGAAAAGCATGGTGGGTAGCAACAAGGGCTCCAGGTTTAGACACTGACTCCCCCACTCAGTAGCTGAGTTCCCTTAGGCAAGTTACTTAACCTCTAACTCAACTGTACAACAGTATAGGACCTACCCCATGAGGCTGCTGAGAGAATTCGATGAGTGACTGTGTGGAGTGTTTAGTATAGTGACTGACACATAGTAATTACCAATAAATGTGAGTTGTTGCTAGCATATACCATTTTAAAGTCTGATTGTTACATTCCTAAAGGGACTTGATAGTAAACCAGCTGATATTAGAAACCTGAACTTCTAGAGATGTTTTGGGCTATAGGCATAGAGAGTGGAACTGGCAGTGAAACTTGTTTTGATACCGGACAGTATGTTTTATTGACAAACTGGGTAGGACATGCGGAGAGAGGTATCATAAGAAACAGTGGGAGAAATGTCTAGGATTGAGTGGAAATAGGTGTTTGGGTGAAATAGTTGAGGAGGGGTTTCACCCCTATCACTTTGAGGTCTGGCCAAACATATTTGCAGGGCGGTCACAT